CCCCCAGAGCCTGCGACAGAGTCGTTGGCTCGCGCGGAGACGGCGGCGACGGGTGCTGGACGGAGACCCATAAGCCGAGTATCTGCAATCCCGTGGGTGTGTGTCGAGGGGAATTTTCATTCCCGGAATAGGCTGCTTCGTCACCATCTTCTGGATCAGGTAAGAAGTTTGGGCCGATGCGTTCTGAGATATTCGTGTCGACCGCGTGAGGTGTAACGTAACCTTGGTCAGCGAAGTGGTGATGGGTGTCGAGGTTATTGCTATCGAGAGGATTGTCGTTGTCGAGTGGAACAGGCACGGAACAGTAAGGGAGTGGTCCGGCAGCTTCCGAAGCTCCAGGTACGTCTTCTTCTGCTGCGTCAGCTTCGGCGGCACGGTCGGCGAAGGACCGAAGGCCCGCGAAGCCGTCGGTGGGGTCGTCTGTGGTGGCGACGTTGTCCAGGTAATGCTGCAGCGTCAGTCGCTCGTAGAAAATCATATCACGTGATGCCACGGTATTTTTGTCTTGTATGTCGAGGAGTTTCCATGCTTGGAAATGTTTGGCAATGCCGAGCTGTAGTCCCCACCGTGCTCGTTTAGTGAAGCGTCCTGCTCGGGCTGTGTGGGGTCTGTACTGTACCATGCAGCCGAAAACCCGAAGTAATTTTGTGCTGCCCCTTTTTCGTGTCCACAGCAGGTGCGGTGATGCATTGTTGGGAAGCGAGGACGAGGATAACAAATTGTGCAGGTGGACTGCATGTGTCATCGCGTCTGGCCACAGTGTGTTGGGCAGTCTCATCCCCAGGAGCAGCTTCCGCATCGTCGTCTGCAAGGTCCGGTTCATTCTTTCTGCGACCCCCTGCTGCTGGTGTGCATAGGGCAGAGACACCACGCGTCTGATTCCTCTTTCCGCCAAGTAGTTCCTGAAGCGTTGTGACTGGTATTCCAGTGCGCCGTCTGTCTGGAAGCTCTTGAGTTTAGTTCCTGATTCCCGTTCAGCGATGGGGAGCCACGTCATGAACGCTTCGAAAGCTTGATCGCGTGTCTTGAGGTTGTAGTGCCAGACATATCTTGTTGCTGCATCGATGAACGTGATGACATAGTTGAAGTCGGTTTCTGTGTCGTCTCGAGGCATGTTTAAGATGTCGCTGTAAACTTTTTCCATCGGTGCGTATGCAGGTGCGCTTGGGTTGTGATGTGATCGAAAGGGTTGGTGGGGAAGATCTGCTTCGGGGCACGTGAAGCACCGTGCGCGTGGTCGTCGAAGTTCTTGGCCGCTCGTTGTAAGAAGAGCGTTTCGTTCTAACACTTCGGCTTGGATGGTTTGTAGTACTTTGTTGTTTGCAGGGTGCCCGAGGCGTTGGTGCCAGATGTCGTCGGGGGCGCGATGGCCGGGCGAGCGTTGGTACATGTCGGCGTTGGAGAAGAACGCGACGACCGTGGCGGGACTTCGGCAGACTTCTCGTGTGATGGGCATAAGTTGATCTGCTTCGGTTGGCGGTCCTCGGATTGCTGGTGATGGTACTCGGCTGGGTCCCGCTGCTGTTACTTCAGGTGATGTCGAGGAAGGGACGCTTGCTGGTACTTGTCTTTCTTGTCGAATGACTGCTAACGCTCATGTTCTCTCTGCTGCAGGTATGGTGTTGGAATACCAGAAACCATCTTGGGTGAAGTCGGGGTCAAGATCCGGCGGGTGCGTCCATGCGGCGAACGACACGATGCCATCGCTGTCGGCAGTACCGCGGTCGGGGACGAAATCCAACACGAAGACACCTGACTTCAGGAGAGCGCGACTGATGAAAAGACCGCCCTTCCCGTGGTAAAGCCGAAATTCGTTGGAGTCCGAGTCGTACTCCAGGTGAATCCCCTTTGCCATTAACTGGCTGACGCTGAGTAAGTTGTATCCCAAATTGTCGACGATGAGAACTTTGTTGAGTTGCAGTATAACGTTTGTCTCCATGGACTGCAACTGAACCACTCCTTGTCTGTTTGTTTTCAGGTTCTCGTTGTTGGCGACGGTGATGATGACATCGCGGTTGAGACGTCGCTCCCGTTGCACGAAGCGCCCGGAAGAACACATATGTTGGCCGCAACAGCTGTCCAAGAACCAAGTGTTTCGCCCGGTGGGTTCGGTGTTGGCGACTGCAGCGTACGTTGGGTTGACCTGAAGTCCTTGTGAGCACAGCGGCGACAGTTCTTCTTCATCTGGAGCGTAAGTGGGCGGTGATCCGGGTGCGCAGTTGTCGATGTGTACCATGCAATTGATGATGTTCGGTGTGCCTTGTGCAGATGTGGAGGAACGCCTCGGCGGGCTATCTTGAGTGGAAGCGACTTGTGGGTCTACTGGACGATAAGCTCGGGGACGTGTGCAGTTGACTTTGGAGTGTCCAGGTGTTTGACAGTTGTGGCAGAACGGCGGCACAATGGTGAGTCCTCTGTTGTCGCGTTGATCTTGCTTGCCGCGTCGGTTGTAGTTGTTGTCGTTCCTTCGTTGAGTATACAAGACTAACGGTTGCTGTTTCCTTGGCTGTCTTTCTTCAAACAGGTCCATCTCCTGTTATTCAGCATGGAGCTCGGCGCAGAGGTGCATCTCCGAGATTCGTCCGTGGGCGCGAAGAAGCGAGCGGGTGGTTCTCCATTCTGGCCCGAGCCCAGCGAGGACAAGCGTCACGAAGCTTTCTTCAGTGATTGTTCCTCCGCACCGAAGCAGGCGGTCGCGGAGTGTTTGGCAGGGACTCATATACTGCATCGCCTTTTCTCCGGTCTTCATCTGGATTGTTGTCAGCTGTTGCATGAGTCTGCTTTGTGTCACGCTGTCGTTTGCTTGATAGAGACACTTGAGATGATGCCACGCGAGTTCCGCGGAGTTTCCATAGCTCCGATACGTTCTGATGCTTTGCTGTTCTTGTGGTGACATGTTCCGCAGGAGAACTGTGTACGCCAGCAGCGACTGATAAGTAAATATTTCTTACTCCTTTGCAGTGCCATTGCTTGGAAATGGCAGGGACCCGTTGAAGTATCCCAAGAGGTGCGCAGCCTCCATCAGCAGCTCGAACTCAAAGCTCCAGGTAAAGAAGTCGTGCCCGTTGAACGGTGAGGATGTCTGCAGTTTGATCACGTGTGAAAACTGCGCCTGGAGACTCAGTATCTCGTTTGGTGTCTGTTGTGATGCAGCTGCTGTTGGTTGGGCACGGGGCGGCATGAACTCGAACGTCCCCGGTGAAGAGTGATAAGGCGCAAAGGTAGGCGCTTGATTGTGTCGCCCGAACGATGAGTTGTCGAGGCTCATCGGCGCTAATCCCATGTTTCCTCCGTTGCTCTGTGTTGAATGCGCAGGTGTCCTTGTCTGCTGCTGCTGGTCGAAGTGTGACATGAAGCTGAAGAACCTTTCCATAAGGTTCGGGTCCACGCTTGAAGAGGGTGATGGGGTCACCATTTCTGGTGCTCTTCCTGTTGTTTCTTGAGCAGCGCCGGTCTCGGTTTGCAGTCCTAAAGTGTGCAGTCCAGAGTTACCGGGTTGAGTGTCGTGGGCACTGGGTGAGCCCGTAGAGGTTTTCTTGCCTTTGCTGTCCATGACTTGTAATCAATGAAGTCGTTGGTGCGCTTATTGTAGATGGAGCGTAGTTGCTGGGAGTAAGGTCTCTGACCAGCTCTCATACCATGTTCGGCTGAGAAAAATGCCGTTAGGATCTTTCCAGAGACTAAGTCCCAGTTGTAAAAAAGAGACTTTGAGTAATGCTGCGGAAGTTGAGTAGTTGAACCCTTGTACTAGTATGTGAGAACAAGCGATTGATTAAGAGAACAAGCATACAGCAATATATAGAAAGTAGGAAAGTAAAGTAGTTGTAGAATACAGTTGAAGAGCGGTTATCGAGTCGCACAGCGACTCGATTGTCGCTTCGGTTACCATCCTTGCAGTTGTAACGGTCACTCGCAACCTCCGATTGCGACCCTTCGAGTCCTTTCGTGTTCTTTGTCCATCCCCTCGTGTAACCTCCATTGACTCGTGTACCCGTTACAATCTTCCTCAAGTGTAGTGTTACACTTCAGAAACGCTGAAGTCCTCGAGATATTTACAACAAAGCTAGTGTCCTAATTCTAAGATAGAATAGGACCGTAATAATAAGACAGAATGGATGAAAAGGGGGTACGGATTCATGCCCATGTCAGCGCGCATGCAAAAGTGCCAGGTGGACGGGGGTACAAGCGGGCTGTCTGTGATTTTGTGTTCGCCCCCCCTGTCTGTCGTGATTACGTCGGATCGCCCTGGCTGGCAAGCGCGTATTGGCTGGGCAATTCCAAGCACAATTCACGGGGAATTTCCGAGCTAGCACTCGTGGGTTGGTTGGCGACGCTTGCATGCGAGATTGGTCACACGGTCGTGATTGGTCACTATGTTTTATTGCGCCTTTTTAGCGAACTCTAACAGTAGATGTATACCGTACAGACGGAGTACATCGTGGTGGATCTTATCAAATTCCGGACCTTGGAGTATTATATGGAGTTAAATGTCACGGACCTAATGGCATACCTGTTAAGAACTTAGGATGCTAGGTCCCTAAAGTTAGGACACTAGCTTAGCTAGGATAGGAGCAAGGCCGCCATGGAACGGCGCTAGGAAAAACGGATCTAGGAGTAGGAGAAAAGTCGAGAAGAAAGAGAGTTGGATTAGGAAGAGAAGGGAGTACAAGGAGGGGTTTGTACCCCCTACAGAAAGGTTCAGTAGCAACCTACCAAGCCTATATAAAATTATAACTTATATAATTTTAACACACCCCCTAGGCTTGGTAGTGTCAAGCCCACTCACACCCCCACACCCACACCCAACCCACCCCCTAACCCCGCACACCCTCAGGCTCGTGCTTAGCCGGGTATCTGACCCTCAGGCAAAGCGTTGACACACCCCCGTACACGAGGCAGCCGACGGCGTCTAGGCGGGTCAGCGACAAGCAGCCGCGGAGCTCTGGCTCAAGGCGGCTGGGTCGCCGACGACAGGCGGCGACTGCCGCGGCTGAGGGCTCTCGGCGATGTGGCAACGTCCGGGCAGAAGACAGCAGCTGCGACAGGAGGAAGGGAGAATGGGGGCGGGGCGAGTCTTCAGCGTCGCGCCATAAATGGCGCGGCGCTTACAGGCGGGACGACGGCGTCCTGGCAGGGGGCGACGGGGCCGGGCAGAGGGCGACGGGGCCAGGCAGGGCGCGACGAGGCCCAGGAGGGGCGCAGCCGCGGCAGCGCGCTGACGTCGTCCCGGTCGCGTTACGAGACGGCCGCGGCAGGACGGCGCAGCCGGCAAAAAGACGACGACGCCACAGCGTGACGCCGCCGCGGCCGCCATGGCAGCGTCGATGCCGCAGCGGGGCGTTGACGCTGCGACTGCAGAACGACGGCCCGACTCCGCGGCAGCGCGTCGGGCCGGTCGCGGCACGACGCGCCCAGTGGCAGCGCGACGTCGCCACTGCAGCAAAACGCTATCAAACAGTGAAATTGATGAATAGAGAGAGAGAGTACACAAACATATACCTAACAGTTGTACTCTCTAGAGGATGACCCTATACAGTCTATACAAGCATGATAACTAAACATGTTTGACACACCCCCTGGACTGCATAGGGGAATGTTCTAGACAAGCAGCTCAGGGTGGCACTACTAGTCCAGCCTCTGAGACAAGGGTCTAAAAGACCAGTCAGAAGGAGTACAGGCAAGGCAAGAACTAGTACAGGGCGGCACTACTAGTCCAACCACTGTAAGAGGACACAAGTCCAGTCTGAGTGTACACACAGATATATATAGGGCAGTACAAAGTCAAGGCCCGAGTAAGTGAGAGACTACAGGAACCAGACCAAGCTGTACACAGTGCCGCTGATGATCTTTAGGCGCAAGCGCCTTCGTAAAGATATCAGCTGTGTTGGCACCGGAGGCTAAGTGTACTACGCGAGCCTGGCGACGCTGCTGTAGCTCACGCAGGAGGAAGTACCGCAGCTGGATGTGCTTCGCTCTGCCCTCGAGTCGAGGCTCCTGACACAGGAGGATCATGGCCCTGTTGTCAGCGTACAGGACCGGGGCAGAGCTAGGCCGCTCACCTAAGTCAGTGAGCAAGAAGGTCAGCCAGCGGAGCTCCTGTGCCGCCATGGCACTGGCGTAGATCTCAGCCTCACAGCTGGACTGGGCAACAGACGAGGAGCGGGTAGCTCTCCACGAGACAGCACCTGAGCCAAGGCTAAAGCAGTAGCCCTGGGAAGACCTGAGCGTCTCGGCGTCGTCTGCCCAAGAAGCGTCTGTGTGTCCAGTAAGGACCACTGGCCTGCGTCCGCCTAGCACTAACCCCATGCCCGATGTACTTGCAAGATAACGCAAAACCCTCTTAGCGGCAGACCAGTGCTGAGGTCGGTGTCTGCCTGTGGCCACGAAACGAGCCAGGATGCTGAGAGGGTATGCGAGATCTGGGCGAGTGCAAGTCATCAGGTACATGAGGCAACCCACTAGCTCAGCGTAAGGACCACTGGGATCTACCGACTCCTCAGGAACTGGAGCGGAGAGTCTGTGGTCCAGAGGAAGAGGGGTGGGCTGTGCGGAGGAGAACTGAAGGCCGAACCTCTGAAGGACCTGGCGCACCAAGTGTGACTGAGTCAGGGTGATGGTGCGCGCGGCTCTGTCCCTGGAGATCTGCAAGCCAAGGTAACGGCGCAGCTCTCCAAGGTCAGTGCAGGTGTGTCTCTTCAGCAGCTCTGCCTTCACGGAGGCCAGTGCGTCCCTGTCAGCAGTGGCAAAGACCAGGTCGTCTACGTAGACGAGGATGTAGAACGGAGTCGAGCCAGCACGAACGAAGAGCGAGGGGTCTGCAGAGGACGGAAAGAACTGCAGGTCAGCAAGGGTAGCACGCAAAGTGTCGTGCCACTCACGAGGCGCCTGGCGCAGGCCGTAGACTGGCCGCCGCAGAAGCCACTGGGTCCCAGGGGGGAAGGTGCCAGTAAAGCCCTGAGGGCGACGCAGGTAGACCTGCTCGTGAAGGCTGCCCTGAAGAAAGGCAGTGGAGAAGTCGAGGGAGTGAAGCTCGTAGTCACGCTGAGCCGCTACGTGTAGCAGCACCCGAAGAGTAGTCATCTTCGGGGTAGGAGCGAAAGTCTGAAAGAAGTCCACCCCCTCGCGCTGACTGAAGCCTCTAGCCACGTAGCGCGCCTTGAACACAGGCGGCTCTCCAGGAGGGCGCTTCACCTTGAAGAGCCAACGGCCATCGACCACGTTCACCCCAGGTGGGGGAACTGCGTCGACGAAGGTGCCGGTGGATCTCCAAGATGCCATCTCCTGCTCCATGGCAGCTATCCACTGAGAGGCCCAGGGTCCCGAAACCGCCTCAGCGTAAGTACGAGGGGTCGGGATGTCGAAAGCGTCTGGGTCACCCTCAGGGACTAGCAGCATGGAACAGAGATGGGGAGCAGCCTCGGACAGGAAAGCAAGCTCAAACTGGCGGTCCTCCAGGACGTCACTGCCGAGGGCAGGAGCACCCCCGACAGACGGAGGACAGGCAGGGTGAGAGACCAGAGCGGTGGCGTAGTCAAGGCGGCGGGTAGAGGCGAAGTCAGCTACCGCAGCGACGAGGGCGTCAAGACTCGACACGGGAACAGACGGGTCGGTAACGAGAGAGGCAAGGACCCGAGGAACAAGAGGACGAGCGGCACGAAAGGAGTCGGACAGAGGAGGAGACGCAACGACAAGAGAAGACGGAGGAGGAGACGGGAGGAGGGGAGGTCGAGACGCGTGGGAACGGAGCAACATAGGGTGAGAGCGCGGGACAGGGGAGACAGGACGAGCACGAGAGGGGCGGCGAGACCAGACGTGTGAGGGCGGCGTCGGGTCAGGAGACAGAGGAGGGGACACAGGAGGGGAACGAGGGGGAAGGCGAGCCGGGGACGAGTCTGGCAGAGGGAACACGGGGCCGTAGACGGGAAGAGGGGGAGACGGCAGGAGAGGAACAGGCGCAGGGTCAGGAGACGGAAGGCCGAGCAGACGGAGGGCGGACACAGGCGGGGACTGCTGCTGCGGCGACACAACACCAACACCAGGGCCACAAGCTGCGCGACGGCTACCTCCCGAACCCTCCACACCTGCACCCCCAGAAGGGACACCCCCAGAGTCCACAAACGGCGGCAGCGACGACAGCGGCGGCGGCGGCGGCGGCTGCAGCGACGGCTGCGACGGCGGCGGCGGCGGAGACGACGGCTGCAACGGCGGCGGCGGTGGAGACGACGGCTGCAGCAGCTGCGGCGACGGCGGCTGCGGAGGCGGTGGAGGAGGAGACACCGGGGGAGGGACAGACGGCGAGGACTGCGCCGGAGGACTACCAGAGTCAGAAGACTCGTCGACCGGGACGACCGACGGGAGGGGGGTGACGTGAGACACACCAGAGGGGGCCGGACGGGGGGCGGGGGGGGGAGGGGCAGGGACCACCAGGGAGGGAGGAACCAGGAAAAGGGGGGAGTAACCGGGGGACCACGGTGGGGAAAGCGGCGGTAGAAGGAGACGGACTCGTCAAAGGTGACGTCGCGAGAGTGAAAGAAGCGGTGAGACGGCGGGTGGTAGAAGTGCCAGTCGGACGCGTCAAGGGGGAAACCGAGGAAGACGCAGGGGAGGGTGCGGGCAGTGAGCTTGTCCGTGCCAGAGGCACGAACGTGAGCAAGGCAGCCCCAGACGCGGAACGCAGACGCGTCACCAGGGGACCCGGTCCACAGAAGGGTCGGCGAAACCTGCGGCCGCTGGGGGTGCGGCCACAGGTTAAGCTGGTGAGCGGCGTAGCGCACGGCGAACGGCCACAGAAAATGGGGTGCACCGGCGTGGATCATGGAGGTGCGAGCCACCTCCATGACCAAACCGATGCGTCGCTCAGCGACCCCATTCTGCTGCGGGGAGTCCGGCAGGGTAAACGTCTGGGTGATGCCCTCCGCACGACAGAAGCGACCAAGGACACCTGAGGCAAACTCGCCACCCCGGTCGGAGTGAAGGCGCAAGGCAGGGAGACCGCGGTGGACACGAGCAGAGACAAGCCAGGGGATGAGAACGTCAGGCACATCGGCCTTCCGCTCCAGGGGGAAGACGGTGGTGTAGCGCGTGAAGTCGTCGACAAGCACTAGGAAGAAGCGCTCGCGACGCGGCCCATGGACCGGGGCTGGGCCCCAGACGTCCATGTGCAGAGTCTGCAGTGGTGCGGTGGTAGGGGGAAAAGAGGAGGAGTGAGGGGCACGGCGGAGCCGGCCCTCGACACAAGGCGTGCACGGTGGGGCGGGGGAGGAGGGAAACTCGGGGAACGAACCGGGGAGACCAAGGACGAGACCGTGCTGGGACATGTGACGCAGACGCGGGAGCGCAGGGTGACCTAGGCGGTGGTGCCAAAGGAGAGTCGGGTGAGTGAGGGACCGACAGGAGCAGGCAGCAGCAACCTGGGTAGACGCAGCCACCTGAGGGAGCGCTCCAGCCGGGGGGGTCACGGTGTCCAGAGTGAACAGGCCGGACACTGGGTCCCGGGGGAACGTGGACAGGGGGCACCAGTGGCGGCCTCGGTACAGACAGCATACCGCTCGTGACCAGGGAACGTAGTGGTGACGCCAAGGTCCTGGAGGCAGCCGACACCAACTAGGTTCCTGGAGAACGAGGGGATATGCAGACCTGTGAGAGTGCCCGAAGGAACCGCCGGACAGGGAAGGGAGGTGGAACTGCGGGCAACGACGGGACCACCGGAGGGGTCAGCAAGAGTAACTGCAGCGGGAACAGGCAGCGGCGTCAGCGTCGTGGAGTCGCGGAAGAAACACCGGGAGGCGCCAGAGTCCAAGGTGAAGGAAAGCGCAGCAGTCGCGCGAGGCAGCAGTGAAGCGGTGGAAGCACCAAGGCTAAGCAAAGCAGGAGATCCTACGCCTGACGCAGCAGGGGAGTCTACGCTAGGCACCGCTACACTAGGCAACACGGGGTAATAAGAGGGAAGCACACTAGAGTCATCAGCATACATCACATGCAAGGCCGCTACAATGGCATCCATGTCCAAGTCAAAAATCCTAATGCTACGCCTAAGCAAGCTGTGCCAGTCCGGGAGGTCGGGCGCCGGGCCAAAGCGCTGGCGGAACAGGTCGTCCAGGCGACGAAAACAGCGAGGAGTAGAATGACCGATCTTACCGCAAACGAAGCCGCGGCGAGGACCGGTCTGGATCTGGTACTGACAGGGCCCGCCTCCAGAACCACCACCCGGTGCACCACCACGCGCACGACCACCACCAGCTCCAGGCCACCCAGGTGGGAGAGTACTCGCCTGCCTCGTCTGCGGCGGCTGCTGCGGCTGCTGCGAGGGCTGCGGCTGCGGCGACTGCTGCTGCTGCGGCTGCTGCAACTGTGGAGGCAGCGGGGCAGCTGGACCGGGCAGGGTCCCCACGTCCGCACCGGCACCGGACGACCCGCCTCCACCACTACCCCCACCCGCACCCCCGCCGCCTCCGCCGCTCCCAACCTTGGGGCGGCGGCCCTTCGCCGAGCGGGACTGCACTGCAGCAGCAGTCTCAGCCACAGCGACAGAGCCGTCGGAGAAGGTACACTGAGCGGGGGCACAACCCTGAAAGATAGGGACCGGTACTGTACCGCTCGCCAGGGCTATGGAGCGGTGACGAGTCTCTATGGCAGTCAGGGTGTCAACAAAGTCGGTGAGGGTGAGAGCAGCAGGGTGGATGCTAAGGAACTGGTCGCGGGCGGCGGCAAGGCGGTCAGGTAGGCGGGTGGCAAGGAGGTAGAGGGTAGAGGTCATGGGAGGCTGGTGGACTCTAAGCTGAGCATCAGTGCAGGCAGCGCGCCAGGCCTCATCTATCGAGCGCAGGTGGGCAGCGAGGTCAGAGACAGTGGGGAAAGACGTCAGGTCAGGAAAGAGCAGGGGAAGGATCAGGCGACCCACTGAGGCAGCAGGAGGGGTAGAATAGCGCTTGATGACAGCATCGAGGTAGGCCTGGGCGGTAGGAATGGTTCTAAAGCGAGGGCGCTCAGTGGGGGGGAGGGCATTGCTAATGGCGAGCTGAGCAAGGGCATCGCGGGAAAGCCAGACAGAGCGGGCAAGGGCAGCAGCGGCAGTGGACTCGCGCTCAGCGGGCGTGGGATCAGCGGGCAGCACAGCAGGGGGGTCAGGGCAGGGGAGCATACCGTCTAGGTGTGCAGAAAGCGGGTGGCCGTCCTGCCGCTGGCCAGTGAGGTGGCGGCGAAGGTCAGCCAACCACGCCTCGAACTCCAGAGGCTGACCCTCAACATCAAAACGAAGCTCAGCAGCCATGAGGGGCAGTGGAGGACAGTGCAGTGCGGTGCAGTGCGATGCAGAGCGGTGCAGTGCGGTCCAGTGCGGTGCAGTGCGATGCAGTGCGGTGCAGTGCGGTCCAGTGCGGTGCAGTGCGGTTAGTGCGATCCAGGGAGGTGCAATGCGATGCAAGGCGGGGCAGGAAAGTGCAGGAGGGTGCAAAGCGGTGCGGGGAACGGGGGACAGTACCAGGAAGTATGGAGGGCCGGGGCAGGTGCGTCGGGGCCGGGCAGGCACGACAAGGCCGGGCGGCGGCGACGGGGCCGGGCGGCTGCGACGGGGCCGGGCGGCGGCGACGGGGCCGGGCGCAGCGACAAGGCCGGGCGGCTGCGACGTGGCCGGGCGGCTGCGACGGGGCCGGGCGGCTGCGACGGGGCCGGGCGGCAGGGACGAGGCCGGGCCGGACACAGCAGGGCCGGGCAGGGGCGACGGGGCCGGGCGGCTGCGACGTGGCCGGGCGGCTGCGACGTGGCCGGGCGGCTGCGACGGAGCCGGGCGGCTGCGACGGGGCCGGGCGGCAGGGACGGGGCCCGGGCAGGCCACAGCAGGGCCGGGCAGGGGCGACGGGGCCGGGCGGGCGAGCAGGGGCCGGGCAGGTGCGACAGGGGCCGGGCAGCCGCGACGGGGCCGAGCAGGGGCGACGGGGCCGAGCAGGGGCGACGGGGCCGAGCAGGGGCGACGGGGATGGGTAGGGGCGCGACGGGGCCTGGAGGGGCGTTACCAAGCCCAGGTAGGGGCGCGACGGGGCCTGGGGGGAGCGCAATGGGTCCCAGGAGGGGCGCTACGGGGCCTGGGAGGAGCGCGACTGGGCTAGGGAGGGGCGCGACGGGGCCTGGGAGGAGCGCAATGGGGCCCAGGAGGGGCGCTACGGGGCCTGGGAGGAGCGCGACGGGGCCCTGGAGGGGCGCTACCAGGCCCTGGAAGGGGCGCGACGGGGCCTGGAGGGGCGCTACGAAGCCCTGAAAGGGGCGCGACGGGGCCTGGAGGGGCGCTACAAGGCCTGGGAGGAGCGCGACGGGGCCCAGAAAGGGGCGCAACGGGGCCCAGGAAGGGGCGCGACGGGGCTAGGGAGGGTCGCGACGGGGCTAGGGAGGGTCGCGACGGGGCTAGGAGCACGACGGGGCCCAGCTAGGGGGCGAGCGGAAGCGTGAGGGGGGGGGGGGGATCCTACCTACGCGTGATACCATATCAAACAGTGAAATTGATGAATAGAGAGAGAGAGTACACAAACATATACCTAACAGTTGTACTCTCTAGAGGATGACCCTATACAGTCTATACAAGCATGATAACTAAACATGTTTGACAAACGCGACCGCCATGGCCGCTGGAGTGAATGAGGGTGAGGAGTAAATGGCGGAAGCGAGAGGAGGCAGTCCAGCAGGAAGGATCTCTTGCTCTGATACCATGTTAAGAACTTAGGATGCTAAGTCCCTAAAGTTAGGACACTAGCTTAGCTAGGATAGAAGCAAGGCCGCCATGGAACGGCGCTAGGAAAAACGGATCTAGGAGTAGGAGAAAAGTCGAGAAGAAAGAGAGTTGGATTAGGAAGAGAAGGGAGTACAAGGAGGGGTTTGTACCCCCTACAGAAAGGTTCAGTAGCAACCTACCAAGCCTATATAAAATTATAACTTATATAATTTTAACAATACCCGCTGTACCACCAAGGATGTCGTGGACAGCGTAATTTCGCTATGAACGTGATTCGTTATTGCAAGAAACTCTTCATTAGAAAACGAACGTTGTATCAGATAAGAATACAGAAAAATGAGATTTACCAATAATGAAAAGACATATGGGACGACCTAACTACAAAATTGAAGACCAGGGCCACTGTGGAAGCAGAACCAGGTCCGACTGAAGAGCAACACGTTGTATGGCCATGTATGAGCAGCTCGTTCCGAGCTCATCATTGGAACTCCTCGTGTATGTACTTCCACGCCTGTCTCATCTCCGCCTTTGGGCAAATCTCACGTGCAACACCCGAAGCGAATGCGCTCTTCGTGGTCCACCCATCTTATCCGCTCTTCTCTAAAGCTCCCTCCCGCTGTCGTCCAACTAGGAAAAGAAATCACTCCGCTTCCTCTGGTAAAGATCAACGACTCCCAGATGCTGCTAGCAGTAGTTATCACTGAGCGTGCGTCCCATAGCCTCCCAGACGCTACTAGTAGTCATAATCACCGGGCGAGGGTCTCGAAAAGCTCGAGTCCGTCGAGCTCGATGGCGCACCGGATGGGAGCCGCGGGCTTCTGCGGGGCCGACGATCGATTGCCGTCGGCGGACGTCGCGACGGCTTGGCAATTGGAGACCTTCGTCTGCACACACGAATTTCATGGCGAGAAATCGATGATATTGTCACGATGACTCCACGTACGAGAAACTGGAGGTGCGACGATGGAAAAAAAAAGAGGTCCAGGGATAAAACGCGGCGGCAAGAGTCCGGGGCGAATTGTACCTGATTGGTCCCTTGATAGCCATAAGAAGCCAGCAGTCCGGCAGCAGCTCCAGTTATGCTGGCAACAATCTTGGAAGCTGGGCTGGCCATAGTCGCCTGGAAAGTCAGTCTAGAGCAAGGTGTCCAAAACGTCAAAGGAAGACCGCAAATCTGGCTTTAGGAGCGAAGAAGATACGGAGCAAATGAGAGAGGGTGAGAGAGGAAGGGAGGTAACTACGTGCAAATGATAATGCTGAACTCTGCTTTTCAAATGATACTTCTCGTTTCCCACCCCGCTTTATTTCTCTCGCCCCTTGCTTCTTTCGGCTCTCTTCCAACAACCAGTCGAAGCAATCCCAAGGGCACAGCTTCTGGGCGCCTCGAACGAAACTGCTGCTTTCCCCGCTCGCAAACTTTCGCGACGCTTCAACACCCTTCGCGAACACGCGACGGCCTCCCGAGATGCCTCGTGATGGTCACTGCTTCGTCACGGCCACAGATAGTTGGACAATGTCCCTCCCTCCCCTCCTGCTGCGCGCCAGGCCTCAGTCCCCCAACCTTGCTGCCCCGTGTACTGTATCCATCCATCCACCTCCACCCATCACCTGCCATTCCCTGCATCCCTGCCAAGCCGAGACGCGTCGGGCAGGGTACAGTATCTGATTCAAATGCGAGGGCGTTGAAATATTGCGGCAGGGCAGCCAGAAGTGCGAAACCCAACAACCAACTTCACGATACGATTCGACCGAAGGTAGATGAAGATGGACGTCTGCTCGCACAACCAACCACGAGGCAACATCGAGGCTTGCGGTCTGCCCGAAGTCTATAGAATTCGGAGGAATGTCGGCAGGGCAGCGGCAAGACAATCTCCATGAATTGGTCTTGGATCGAGCAGGCACTTCGTGATCTTCTGGACGGATCCCATGAAAAGTGCACATAGAAAGATCCGCTGGGGACCACAGCCCAGCAAAGAGCGCCATTCCCTTTGGATGACGCCACGCCTGCGAATGTGGCGGTCAAACAAGAGCTTCCTCTGTCACGTGGCACGTGTCTGGAAGTCCGAGCGTCACGGGCGCCTGCGCCGTTTCGGCAGCAGATTTTGCAGCCACGTCATTTTCTGTCAGCTCCAGGGATCAGGATGCCAAATTTCGTCAGCACTTGGGATGAGGATGCCTGCTATCACAGACGACACGTGGTACCACATTTGCTGTGACGAGGGCATCGCTACAGCACTTTCCAGTAAAATATGTAGATTACAGCCAGGGAGTATTTCCCAAAAAATATTGCACGCAATATTTTACTTCTCATGATGTTGTATCCCAAGGTAAACAATAATTCTCAGCCAATCCATGATCACCTACGCCAGACTTTCATACCATTTCTAATCTGGGAGCATAAGAGCCCAGGAGGCACGAACATCTTACTAACACATGGCACTATATTCAGGGTACATTTCGGATCTGCATGGACTGCAAGCCTCCGTCGAAGGAGCTATCGCTGCCAATGATGTCCGTGACTGTGATAACCAGATCTCCCGATTTCATCATGCCACGCGCCTGCATGCATGGGATGTCGCACACATGGGAAGAAGTGAGCCGACGGGGTACAACAAAAGAAGCTGTGCCAGTTTAGGAATTGCAGGGGCTGAAACCCAAACGGCGAGCGTTGAGACCAAACCAAGGGCTTCAAAGGATCCACCTGAACAATTGAAAGTGGGATTTTTAAACTTTGTCCCTGATTTTTGCAGAAGAACTGTGCTGTGGTTTTAGTTACCTTGAGAAGATTGAATGTGCGCAGGATGTTGGACTCCATGTCATCTGAGTGGCCCCAACGTTGAAGCCACACACGGCACAAACTCAACCCATGCCAAAAACGACACGCTGCACTCCCACCTTGAGGTTGAATGTGCGCAGGATGTTGGACTCCATGTCATCTGAGTGGCCCCAAAGTTAAAGCCACACACGGCACAAACTCAACCCATGCCAAAATCGCCACGCTGCACTCCCACCTTGAGGAGGTTGAATGTGCGCAGGATGTTGGACTCCATGTCATCTGAGAAGTCCAGGCGGAAAGGAATGAGGCCCCATGACAGGTTCAGCTGCTGCCGCACGCCCTGTTGACCAAGGGGGGGTTTAGAGGAGAGAGAAGGTGTAAGTGAAGAAATAAGGCCCGTGACAGGTTCAGCTGCTGCCGCACGCACGCTCTGTTGGGAAGCACAGAAGAACAGGATGGAAGGGGGGGTGAGGGGAGTTGGGTGGGAAAGGCGAGCAGATGGGGAAACAAAGAAGAAGTGGGACATAACATATAGACAAAGGAAAACGAGGCCATGCTGAGCCGTGAGGAGGAAAAGCAGAAACTTGAGAATGACAAAAAGAAAGGCATTGGGCAAGAGACCAGAGAGGAACGCAAGAGCAGGAAGCAGCAGGCAGTGGATGATAAGACTGAACTGCAAATAAATTAATTAATTAATTAATAATAATAATAATAATAATAATAATAATAATAATAATAATAATAATAATAATAATAATAATAATAATAATAATAATAATAAAACGAGGTTTGACAGGCCTGGAAGGATGTGATTGGCGGCATTGGTTACCTGGGAGGAAGTGAAGGCGAAGATGGGGCAGTCGGGGCGGCAGCGCGAGAGCAGCGAGGCCATGTACCCACGGTGGGTGAAGACGAATATGGCGTCCACCTGGAGCTTGGCGGCTGAATGGGGAGGTGGGGAGGGGAGGAGGGAGAGGGGATTGAGTGAGGAGGAGAAAGGAAGGGGGAGGGGAGAGACAGGCCTGAGGGAGAGCAGAGCAGAGCGGCCGTATAGCCACGGCATGCAGCTAGGCGGGAGAGCGCGATAAAGCTGGATGCATGCGGGAGAGGGAGGGAACCAGGCATGCATGCGATAAAGCTGGATCCCTGTGATTGCGTCTCAGTCAAGGTGACTTTCAGTCGGGTTTACTTTCAGTCAAGGTGACTTTCCGTCGGGGTGACTTTCCATCGGGGTCCCTTCCAGTCAGGGTAACTTTCAGTCGGGGTAATTTTCAGTCAAGGTGACTTTCAGTCGGGGTCACTTTCAGTCGGGGTCACTTTCAGTCGGGGTGACTTTCAGTCGGGGTCACTTTCAGTCGGGGTGGCTTTCAGTCGGGGTAACTTTCAATGAGTACACGGTGCGAGTGCATGGAGCCATGCCCGGGTCCATTCATGGGTCAACACGCACTTGCTCCAACCACTCACCCATGTGTGCAGCAGACGCATAGATCTGCTCTGATATCCTCTCAGACAGCTCTGGCAGCAGGGCAATGTCTGCCTCCTGCTCCCTGCTGCCCGTTTCTACGCTCGTGGCATGCATGGTTGCATGTGTACGCTTATATACCGCAGTACCACACCACTCACCCATGTGTGCAGCAGAGGCGCAGATCTGCTCTGATATCCTTTCAGACAACACGTCAGACAGCTCTGGCAGCAGGGCAATGTCTGCCTCCTGCTCCCTACTGCGCTCCGCCCGGCTGAACCCCTCTATCCTCGTGGCCACCGTGCGCAGCACAGCCAGAGCCTTCTCAGGGAACTGCCCGATGGCTGATTCTCCAGAGAGCATGAGGGCGTCTGCGCGTTGCCTCACAGCCTCTGCCGTGTCCGCCACCTGCAGGAAGAAGCACCATGGGGAGGGTAAGAGAAAGGCTGAATCCCTCTCTATCCAGGTCGCCACGGTGAGCAGCACAGCCAGAGCCTTCTCAGGGAACTGCCCAATAGCCGACTCGCCAGAGAGTATGAGGGCGTCTGCCCTCTGCCTCACCACCTCTGCTGTGTCGGCCACCTGGAAAAGAGAGCGGGTCAAAGGGGAGAGAAAGGAAGGTGAATGGCTGACTGACCCCCTCTAACCGCGTGGCCATGTCCGCAGAACAGCGAGAGCCTTGGTCAGGGAACTGCCCAATGGTCGACTCGCCGGACAGCATGGGGGTGTCTGCCTTCTCTGCCTTATCCCCACTGCAGTATCGGCCAGCTGGAGCAATCGGAAGTAGATATGATCATATCGCATCGCATCGCATTGCAAAAATTGCATCGCGATTGATGTCGCGCGGTGCGATGTGATTTGCATAGTGCTATATATTTTAATCGCATTTCTATCACAACCGCTACTTGCGATAATTATGCGACATGAGATATAAAAAATATCGCATATGATCTAGTGTGCCATCAGAACTCTCTTTCTCTGTGGCCACCTGGGTGATTGCAGGGCTGCCCTTTTTTTTGTCCTCCGTAAACCCTTTCATTTCAGTCTGTAAAATGCGATGCGATATTATATCTCATCGCGCGATATCTCCAGGGGCAAATGCGATATGTTCTAATATCGCGCCCTATTTGCGAAACGCGAAACTGGAAATAAGAAAAATAATATCGTGCGATGCGATATTATATCGCATCACAGTTACAGCGGTTTTTTTAAAAAAAAAGGCAATGCGATATGATATCTCATCGTTTTTTTTATCATGTCTGATGGGAAGGAAACAGAAGGAGACGGACGGAAGGGATGGGAAAGAGTGATCGTGTCCTGCTCTTCGCTATGCACCACCTGCCCACACCCCGATTCCCTGATCGCCACTGTGCGATGAGCAGGGGTTGCCATCACTCATGCTCCCCGGCCCGGATAACATCATGGCCTCACCTCATCATGGCCTCACCTCATCATGGCCTCACCTCATCATGGCCTCACCTCATCATGGCCCCGAGCATCTCAGTGCGAGAGACTAGGGGTGGGGAACCTCAACCGGCTGCCATGCCCCAATGACCAGCCCTGCTATGAGTTACCTCAGCACGCAACGTAGCCCACACTCACCACAGCACCAGTAGGGGTTGGGAGCTCCATCACCAAAGCACCTGTCCATATTTCTCGCCTTACTCATCTCGTCTTACTCGCCTCATCTTTCTTACTCACCTCGTCTTACTCGCCTCGTCTTTCTTACTCACCTCGTCTTACTCAACTCGTCTTACTCACCTCGTCTTACTCACCTCGTCTTACTCACCTCGTCTTACTCAACTCGTCTTACTCACCTCGTCTTACTCACCTCGTCTTACTCACCTCGTCTTACTCACCTCGTCTTACTCACCTTGTCTTACTCACCTCGTCTTACTCACCTCGTCTTACTCACCTCGTCTTACTCACCTCGTCTTACTCACCTCGTCTTACTCACCTCGTCTTTCTCACCTCGTCTTACTCACCTCGTCTTACTCACCTCGTCTTCCTCACCTCGTCTTACTCACCTC